GCCAGATGAGTTTTTGTAGTACGTGCATCATGTGCATGTCCCTGTGAGTTGTGACCGAGCTAGTGTACTTAGTATTGAAATATAGATAGGATATGCACTACATATATCCTCCAGAACCAAAACACAGCAGAAGCGAAAATCAGTAGCCCCTTCTCCCAAGCATTACAGCTCAAGAATACTCTGCCATTACAGGCTAGAGGGAGTGGCACCACACGAAATGCACCAAAAAATGAGGCTGGCAGACCAGCAAGGACATGCACTACCAAGAATGACAACATAAACGACACTAGTGGATGAAAATCAACACGTACTGCCAAAATACACAAAGAAAATGAAGAGCTGACCAACAAAGACATGTACTACCAAAAATGACATCAAAAACAAGACAAGCAGATCAACAAGGACATGTACTACCGAAACCGACACGAACAATAAGAAAAGAAAACCAACGCCTCTTTCTTGCTCTATTCCTCCTTCTATTTACGCATTTTGTCTTTCATGTTGTCTCATTCCTCCTTGTCATTTTTACAGTTTATCCCATCTCTCTAGCTCTCATTCCTTCTTTTATTTTCCTGTTGTATTTCCTTTTGATATCATTCCTCCTGTCATTTTCACATCGTACCTCTCTCTAGCTCTCATTTCTTGTTTTATTTTCACATGTTGGCCTTTCTAAGTGACTCTCGTCCCTCCTTTCAGTTTCACACTTATATATTTCGCATTTTCGCATCTCTTGCTCTTTCTTGCTCTAATTCCTTCTTTTATTTTCCTGTTTTATTGTCTTTTGATGTCATTCTGTCTTTTGACGTCATTCCTCATGTCATCTTCACATTTCACATCTCTCTAGGTCTCATTTCTTGTTTTATTTTCGCACTTGGCCTTTCTTTTGAGCTCTGACTCCTCCTTTCAGCTTCACACTTTATATTTTGCATTTTGCCACTCTCTTAGATATGTAGTCGGTAGTCTACAAGTGTGTATGTATGAGACGGTTTAAATCATTATTCAGAGATACTACCTGAAGCCAGCTGGAGACAGGGAAGGCTCAGCAAATACCAGCAGTGACGTCTTTGGAATTGGAGCATCCCACTGCTGGTCAGTATTGATACGAACTGAAATGATGGTTACCTTGCATTTGACACGAGGGATGGTTTCCTTTTGAGAGCAGGGACGGTTGCCTTTTCAGAGCAGGGACGCAGGGATGGTTTCCTTTTGAGAGCAGGGACGGTTGCCTTTTAAGAACAGGGACGCAGGGACGGTTGCCTTTTGAGAGCAGGGACGCAGGGATGGTTGCGCCCCGTGGGAATAAAAGGAAGCAGGGACGCAGGGACGGTTACATACATCTTAAATGAAAAACGGAAGGTGTGAGGTAAGGGATTACCATTTCCGACCAAAAAAGCGGCAGATGGGAAAAAAGGAAGCAGGGACGCCCCATATAAGGAAGGAGCAGGGACGGGGACGGTTTACACCCCCCTAAACCCAGAAACAGATAGATAGTTGAGCGGGTACAGCGGCACGCTCGCACGAAGGACATAGCAATTCTGTACTGATCGATATATACTAGTACAAGGTTACGGAGACAGCGAGAATCAAATACAACAGTCTGTCAAATTATGAGCCAATCAAACAGTGACGGATTCAGAAGGAAGCTCTGCTTTTCCCGTCAACGCAGCTATGCTATGCACGAGCTGTTCAACCTGTTTCACAAGTGCACTAAGTCGGAGATCTTGTCCCACGAAGCGAGATTCCACCATCGCAGCCAGCTTATCGACTCGTAAGGAAAGCGAAGTAGTCTCGTCCACGTTAGCCAAAGGTTCGACTGACGTTTCGATGCCTGTATCTTGAACTCGGTCTTTTAATCTTGACCAGCCAGTGTTTGTAAGGGTGGTGATCTGTGGCCACGTTGAACACATCGTGAAATGCACAATCGCCGCATAGGGCAATGGGGAAATGGCTTTCTGTAATAATTGTCAAGCTTTGTGCCCTGTTAGACGGATGGAAATCTGACCTCCGCAGTTAAAGCATACATAAAAAGTGCCCTTCATCTTGACGTCGCATTCAGCACAAGAATAGGCATCCTCGTTCGCGGCTGAGGTTCCAAGTATCCTCTCGAATGCTACTGCATGTTCCCATTGAGCTTCTCATCACCTCCCCGCAAATCAACAGATGCGAAAGAATCATCTGCTCGAGTGGCTGCTGTCGGATGCGGAAGTTCAGGTCCGTCTGATTGCGTTTGGCATACGTCTTCCGGTGGTGTTGTGGTGGGCAGAATATCAGATAAGAAATTCCTGGCATGCCACCGAACCCGGCTGCAGCGACTATAAGGGAGCACCATGCGGAAAACAAGCAAGTTGTGCGTCGCCTTGTGGTCCGATGGATATTTGTGTTTTGAAATTGGTAGAGATTGGCATTCTGAACACAAATCATACCCGTCTAGATATGATCCAGTTGTATTGTTGTTTTAATCGCACTCACCATCATCGCAGTCTATACAACGGTGATATACATCAGTAATAAGGGAGTGGCATGCGTCGCAGCAACACCTGAACACCAGATAAGTAGATAGTCGAAGAATGATAGGTAACAGAAGCTGTACTTACTCAAACAATCGTTTGTGTGTCTCAAGTTCAGCTAATGAACTCCAGCGTTGGACATCTGATTCAGGCAGCCCTTTGGACAGGGCTTTGAACCTTTGTTGTTGCTCGGGCGATAGGTAAGGTGAGGTTTCCAAAGGGAACGACTTTCTCTTATTGTGGAGCTTATTCAAGCACCACAAACGGATATATTCGTCCTTGGGATCTTCAGGCTGCTGGTTAAGGGCATATGCGACGAGCTTCACAGGCCTTTCTAACAATTCCTGGTCCTCTGTCAGACTGAAGGGACCAAGTTTCAACGCTGTCTTATCAATCTCCAGCTCAGTGTCGTCAAGCTCAAAATCATGGGCTTCCCAACATTCAGCGTCGTCTGCGGTTCGTTCTGGGCTGTACCAAAAGTTGTACTATTGCGGGGCGTCAGGGACCGGAAATAAATACACTGTTGCTGTCTCTACGCACCAAGCTGTGTGCATACCACGTGAACCTTGCTTTTGCATCTGTTCCTTGCTGGCGAAATGATTCTGTTGTAGAAGGAAAAGCGTATCACAACCGTGAGTTTAGGAGCGTACCTGCCAGTTGTTCAACACGCAGATCCACCGCTTCCAATATATCAGATATCGTTTGAGTTGCACATTCAAATTCTCTATCCACAAGAATTACTGTCCTGGCGAGTTTCATGATTTGTAGATGCCTCCTCGTAACGAGGTAAAGCACTGGCAGCAAGAACTGAACAAACATTCATGTGGGTATTCGGTACAAACGTTGAGTGAACGACGACTCACATTTTCGATGCGATCAGATCCGAAAAGTTTGAAGGAATCTTTGGAGTCGATTTCATACTTTACAGTGTCAAGTCTTTTCACCAAGTCCTTCTCCTGAACGTTGCGATATCTATCAGACAATCGCGTGAGATCTAAGTCTGAGTCCTCTGGCCCAAGCTCTGCAAGAGAGCGCACGAGCCGTTTGATGCCTGTTTGCATGTGTAAATATCCGCATTCAGAGGTGAGAAAAGCGCCAAACCCTGGATAGCATCTGAATCCAAGTACAAGGCGATACACCTCCCGTTTACCGGCAGTACGTCTGCTTGCGCATGAACCATGCTGTGCAAGACTTGTTCAATTCGTGTGTGGTAATGTTGGCTATCCACTCTCCAACCTTTGCTGATGTAAACGCTCCAAGTTCGACCTGACGACAATGACCAAAATACTCACCTGCAGCCCAGTATGCAAGTGCTTGAGGTACAATCAAGCCCGGAAGTATCGCGGAAGTAAAGGCATTAACTTCCCTTACGCTGATCAAGCCATTTGCGTCCTCGTCGAAGACTTCGGATAAACTCAAAATGTAGAAAACTGACAGATATTTCAAGCACCACTCGTCTGCATGGTCCTACTGGAGGAGACTGAGTGTGGGGTGTACTTGATGTCACTTTTGGGCGTGGAGCATCATTATGCAGGTTGGAGAAACGTTGCGTGAAATAATCATGGAGTTCTGCGATGAAGTATAGTATCTTGACACTTGTTGATCATTTCTTGAAGATGATAAGTATGTGCTTCGATCACGCCTGCACAAAGACGTGCCATTTCTTTCCAGATAAATTGGAGATGCTAGTGAGATTGACCGAGTTAGTGATGCATAGAATCGAGTTTCTTAATCCTTACTGGACCCTTGACCCGTTTAAATTTGGCGCCGAGAGCCGACATAATGCGCGTTTCAGAATCCTTGATGGCATCTTTGATCTCGGCTGTCTGTTTATCGAGCTTGAACATGAAGAGCGTACGAGTCTCGTCGAGTGAGCTGGCTACAGGAGTGCGCAATTCGTGAAGCAGCGAGGCACGAAGGCGGTACTGCTCCGCAACCGATCCGTGCGCCGATGGGGTTTGTGAAGCAGGCTTGCTGACATCTTTGGATGGGGCATCAGAGCGTGCTTGAATCTGTGCTTCCTGATGCTTGGCGAATTTCACTAGCTCCGTTAACCTGTCTTCGCTTTCGAAACCTGGATCCATTCCACCGCGCATGATCACTTCTTTCGCAAATCTCTTTTCGCGTTCGGTTTCAAAATATTGAGCCATTGCACCGTGAAATTTCTCTCCTTTCGCGATTTTCGCTTCGCGTTCACCTAGCATCTTGGTGAGATCCTCCAGCTTTTGATCGCAGTGTCGACTCCCAACGCCGTCCTAATGGCCAAGGCATCCCGAAGTTCCTGTATACACTGGGAAAAGTTCCCGCTAATCACGAGGAACTTATCCGCCCAATGGGATGATTTGAAGAATTTCAGGATGCAATTATCAATCCGGCGAGAAATTTAAGAATTCGAGATCAACTAACCGACGAATTTCGACTTGTAGTGGCATTCCCGCAATCCTCGACATTGCGCTTCATTTTATCCAAGACACCATCCAGTCGGCCCCGAATAGTGCCGCGAGGTCCTACAATGTCCGGGTCTCTAGTGTCCTTAAGTCTATCAACGGATCGAATCAGCGAAATTTGTGTTGAGTGAGCATCAACCAACGAACTGAAGAAGCATATTCATCATATCAAATGCCTTTGCAAGCATCAAACAAACTGTGCGATCGTTCTCTCTTCGCCTTATTTCAAAATTCACGACAGCCTTGAAAGCGATTATAGCCACTGGAAGTCATCTTAGCCGAAGTAGTAATGTCGACAAGTTGAATACTCACCACTAACAAAAGGATGGATCTGTTGCAGAGCATCCAAGGCATCCATCACCTTCTTTGCCTCTCCACTTGGAGATTAAGTTCCCTATGCGAGGACGCGATGATCTAATTGTTAAGTGGGCGGATGGAGTGACAGCGACGGACCGGCCTGGTCCACATTTTTGAGCATTCTAGCCGACGTCGATTTAGAACTTGTTAGGGCATCATACAATGCCTTCTGCGCTCGTTCCGTGGTAATAGCGGACATGACTTGCTATTAATGAACCTCAGAGGTTCTGTAGAAGAGAAAGAGGTTGTTAAGCAACAAGGGAGGTGAGTGAAACAAAAAAGACGATCTATAAACGAGCTCACTAGTCGGTTTATATCCATAGAATCTGATTCTCATAGGCGCTGAACCTCGTGTTCCATCATAGATAAGCCTTGTTCTGCATAGCGGCGGCGTCTGACACAGCGCTAGATGCGTATAATCACTAGGGAGTCAGGTTGACCCCACCATTAGCGCAACCTGCAAAATGGTCTCTCCTAAATGAATGAAGATAGCCGCACAGAAGATCACTAGTATGTAAATTTGAGCGAGTGCTAGCGCTTGGGGCTTCATGCAACTCACCAAAGTTTTGGCGTCAGAGGGAGTCTTTTCGGGTCATAGACCATATATCCGAGTCATTTGCATCTTTTTCTTTGGATATATGTGGTTGATGCGGCACATTGTGACACAATACTCGAAGTGCCGTCTGGCAGGACTCTCGCAGGTAAGCATCAAAGGAACACTGCGATGGAAAAGGTCAGTAAATAAAGATTAGAGATCTCGGTGATCTCGGCAAGTTTTTCATGACAGGATGATTTGTAGTTGCTAGTTTGTTGCCTCGAAGCCAGAGGTGATCGCTCCTAAGATGCACTCAGGCTAATAATTTGTGGGTAAGAATGAAGTTGCACAACACTGATCTGGCATAACACTTAAGCTTCATGTGGCAAGGCATAATTTGCGACAAACGTGATCGTCACCGAGTGTCTGAATTGCGCGAGGGTACTCCCACCGATTATGCAGCATTAAAATCCATCGTTTATGAGGAACTTGGCCCTGACAGGATAGACAGGCCATAGACGAAAGAAAATATGTAGTCGTTCGTTCTCTTTTCAATGCTAATCAGTACTCACGAAGGTCAACTTCCAGCTAGTATACACAGCCACCCGCACAGAACCGTGGTCATCAGAAAAGCGTGGACTCGATAACTGTTGACATTGTAAAACGTGAAGCGCTACGTATGTTAGGACAGTTGGATGTCCGCCTACTCCGATGGTCAGAAGATTCTGCCTGTTAACAAAGAGATCAGTATTTGGAGCGTTTAATTTTCACAAGCACACGCACAACAGAATACAACACCGGTCTCCTCAATAGAGTCATTTTCTGCAAGGTCTTCTGTTTGTCGTCAATCAACATGCTAGTTGGACAGTGCAGACATGCATACCGATACTGGCCAGTTGATCGACAACTTGGTTCATCTGGTCTAACGTCCAGAACATGAACGGACGAGACGCGATAGCCTCGACCCACTGGCTACCGCGAGTGAGAATGACGATCCATTGGTGAATCGTTCGACTCCACAGTCTTAAGGTCTAAAGGTTTGAGAAGAAATACACCAGAGTCTAGGAAACGGCGACAATATCATTACATAATATTGGATCTGAGACTGAATGTCATTATTGATAATTGTTTGCTTCGATTAATTGTCACATCTTCATCGACCACTCACGAGTCACACCACTATACTGTGCTATAAACGGAACAATTACGGTAAGAAAATTGATCGATCTTTCCAACGCCCCTATTGATATTATGTAAAATGACAGCCAAAAAACATGTCCCGCGTTTTGCATAGTCCTCACGTCAGCATTAACGTCGACAACATCGTAAGCTTATCGGTCATTCTCACCCATACCAAAACTCCCATTTTACAGACGCAACTTCAATACCTCGCGTCAAAGGCGGTAATGTGTTCAGTACCACGTCACCGTGACGCAGTTCCTGACTTACAGACTCGAGGTCCCCAACACGCCCACACCGTGTCTGATGAAGCGGTTGATACGCGACTGTGCACGCGGTTGCGCTAACCTGACACAGCGCCTAAGATCGGCATTGCGCAGGGTGAGTCGTTGTTTTATGGAGAAACCTTCAAACTAAATGATGCGCAGAGATGAAGCTTATTCAAGCTGATACCATAGTCCATGACCCTAATCATGCCCCTCACAATACCAACCACCTCTTGGCCTTCTAGAATTACATGTTACTAGGACTGACACACATATTTACATAGGGGAGCCTCCGATGATCTATGAAGATCATCAGCATCGCGCGCTGTAAGCCATCGTGTTATTGCAAAAATTCTTAACTGACAAAGTGTGCAGGGATGCATATACGAGCTCAGGCTGATACCAATAATCCCATCTCCTATCATATCATATTACAAAATGCCAACCAATTAGGCCAGTGATGGATAAATGACCATTGGCATCAGGACGTACCAAGTGAATACACGCTCCAATCATAACAGTAATATTGCATAAAACTTACTGCCTTGGTGACAGTTATAGGTATTCCATGCTTCAATTTCAGGGACGCCTGCATCGATCTACAAACATGCCAGAAGGTAGTACATCTGACAATGCATCCACTTTGCGCGCATTTCTGAGATGGATACGGTAGGGGCGTCCTCATCGTATACATGCCGCTCCCAGGCTCAGTGTAGGGTCCAGGGTACGTACCACACACATATATTGTGATCTGACCCACGCTCGATTGCATGCATAATTCCTAACGTGCCATTGGGAAAGGTCCAACAAAGGCATGTAGTGCGGATCTTCTTTCCCCGGCTCTACAGTGCAGACGGTGTAGTTCTGGTGTCTCAAGAAGATTTGGCCCTCCTTTACGACCATTGCCTGCGCCCCACACTATTAGAGGTTCTTCTCCACTCGCTGATCGGGCGCCGACATCATACGCTGCCGCATACATGCAATTAAAAACTCGCACCGGAGGGCTCGCGTTCAACACCCTAGACGTCCCTTGAAATAGATTGGAAGGAGTTGCTGCAATACCAAATGTCATCCTACGAGTCTTGCCACCAGGACCTCCTCAGGCACCTTATGCCTCTCGCATGTCCTCGAAAAGTCGCTGCCTTTACCAGGAATAAGAAAAAGTTCCACTTTGACCGCACCCTACAGATGGAAGAATTAGCCGGCTTCCGTGCAACTACCGCCGATTTCACAGACAGTGATGGAATAACATACGTGCAGGCCTGTACCCGCGGTGCTTACGGGTCGGTGTGTACACGTACCCGTGGCGGGTGCGGTGTTGGCGGGTACGGGTACGGTGTTGAGTTTCCGACCCGCGGTGTTACCCTTGCGGAACCCTAGGTGCACAATGGAAAACTGAGTACAAGAGAAGTCGTGCAATGCTTTTTGACCAAAAAAACACTGATGATAATCGGAATTACATTACGTACTGTTCCAAGCAATGGTACCCACATATTTTCGTCCACAGTGAAGACATAATAATATGACTATTGCTGTACGCCGTGGGCTGGTTCGGTCACGTTGTTTATGCAGAAGCATTTCACGGTGATCTCATCGTTTTCTTGTGTTGTAGCTTGATATCTGAATCGACTGACCTTTGAGTTCTACGTAGAGTTCAGCCATTTCAGCATCCAGAACATCGTGCCGGTGATCAAAGATGGAACAAGATATAGCGAGACGAAAGTTGCACAGCTGGCAGAGACGAGTCCAACAATCTCGAAACTGACGACGCGTGGAACTGCGAACACAGCAGCAAAAGCGAGGAGCGTTGTGATGGGTGGATTAGATGAAGAATCGGACACCTCAAAGGCCGCCGTGCAGTGTACGTTAGCGCAACCGCGTGTCAATGGTGAGGTCGACCCTGACGCGAAGGATGTAAATCTAAGGAGTGAATTAACATCGCCAGCAAAGCAGACTGACCTTAAGCGAGGGTATCATTCATGATGCGGCAATCCCCGATTTTCCAGTGCGGGAACTTCGAGGATATGTAGGAATTGGCCGGTCCGTGGTTAAAACTCTTTGC